TAGAGGAGTCAACACCCACACTCCGCTCAAGACAGAAATGTTCCATGGACGCATATGTGTGTTTGCACTCCCAGCACACGGACCTGTGCTGTCACAGACAGCTCCTGGTCTCTGAGTTGGTGGGAAGGGTTCCCGATCATGTGACCACTGTGACAGCCGATCAAGTGTTCGGGAAGTCCGTCCTGCGCCCTTGCATAAAGGGCCACTGGGAATGGGTGGGAAATACACGGCTCAAGAAAATGAAATGAAGACTTTGAAAACCCATCAGATCTCAATGGGGAAAAATCTCAATGCTGGATCTCTATACTGACATGGACGGGGGATGGGTGAGGAACGTAAGGACGCCCCATCGTTGGATGGAAATGATCGACCTACAGAGGACTGAATTCACAGACACCCCGAAAATCAAAGTGAGAAAATTAAGTAGAAGGTGAGTCCATTTGGCTGACATTTCATTGCACAATTCAGAATGGTCCTCAGTAGTCTGTGTGGCCCCCATGTGCTTGTATGCATGCCTGACAACGTCGGGGGAGGCTCCTATTGAGACCATGGATGGTGTCCTGGGGGATTTCCTCCCAGATATGTACCAGGGCATCACTGAGCTCCTACACTGTCTGAGGTGCACCCTGGCGGCGTCAAATGGACTGAAACATGACATCCCAGAGGGGTTCTATTGGATTTAGGTCAGGCGAGCGGGGGGGCCATTCAATGGTATCAATTCCTTCATCCTCCAGGAACTGCCTGCATACTCTCCCCACATGAAGCCGGGCATTGTCTGCACCAGGAGGATCCCAGGACCCACTGCACCAGGAGGAACCCAGGACCCACTGCACCAGGAGGAACCCAGGACCCACTGCACCAGGAGGAACCCAGGACCCCCCCCCCTTCACCAGGACCCCCCCCTTCACCAGGAGGAACCCAGGACCCACTGCACCAGGAGGAACCCAGCACCAGCGTAGGGTCTGACAATGGGTCCAAAGATTTCATCCCGATACCTAATGGCAGTCAGGGTGCCATTGTCTATCCTGTAGAGGTCTGTGTGTCCCTCCATGGATATGCCCCCCCCAGACCATCAATGACCCACCACCAGAACAGTCATACTGAACCATGTTACAGGCAGCAGAACGTTCTCCACGGCTTCTCCAGACACTTTCACGTCTGTCACATGTGCTCAGGGGGAACCTGCTCTCATCTGTGAAAAGCACAGGGCGCCAGTGGTGGACCTGCCAATTCTGGGGTTCAATGGCAAATGCCAATCCAGCTCTATGGGGCCGGGCAGTGAGCACAGGGCCCACTAGAGGACGTCGGGCCCTCAGGCCACCCTCATGAAGTCTGTTTCTGATTGGTCAGAGACATTCACACCAGTGGCCTGTTGGAGGTCATTTTGTAGGGCTCTGGCAGGGCTCATCCTGGTCCTCCTTGTACAAAGGAGCAGATACCGGTCCTGCTGATGGGTTAAGGACCTTCTATGGCCCTGTCCAGCCCTCCTAGAGGAACTGCCTGTCTCCTGGAATCTCCTCCGTGCTCTCGTCTCCTGGAATCTCCTCCGTGCTCTTTTCTCCTGGAATCTCCTCCGTGCTCTCGTCTCCTGGAATCTCCGCCATGCTCTTGAGTCTGTACTGGGAGACACAGCAAACCTTCTGGCAATGGCAGGTATTGATGGGCATTCCTGGAGGAGTTGGACTGCCTGTGCAACCTCTGTAGGGTCCAGGTATGGCCTCATGCTACCAGTAGTGACACTGACCCGAGCCAAATGCAAAACTAGTGAAAAACAGTCAGAAAAGATGAGGAGGGAAAAAATGTCAGTGTCCTCGACCTGTAAAATCATTCCTGTTTTGGGGGTCGTCTCATTGTTGCCCATCTAGTGTACCTGTTATTAATTTCATGAACACCAAAGCAGCTGAAACTGATGAACAACCCCCCTCTGCGACTTACCTGACCAGATCCATATCCCAGGAGGGTCATAGACTTGATGCGACTCGGATTACAAAGTCTGCCTTTCATTTTTTTGAGCCGTGTAGTTAATAAAACCTGATTGCAAGAAAAAAAAGGGAAAGCGGATTCATCACTGGGGAATGTTTGGTGAAAGTCACATCCGCTGCCTTATAAATAGACCTCTGCGACCAGCTTGAACCCCTCCAGGAGGGAGCTCTCATTGCAGCCTTGGTTTGAAGTATGCAGGAAACGCGGGGGAGGGAGGCTTTTGGGGGATCCTTGTGACATCATCACTGGACTACCAGATTAGGTATAGTGAATGATGTCAGTTAGGGGGAAAGTTTCTGTTGGGGGCAGGTTCTGTGGGGGAGGGGTTTTGAGGAGATGTGTTCCAAACACTTGATACCCGGGAAGTTCTTAGCTCAGCAAAACTCCAGTAGAGTAGGTCAGTGTCAGAAATTCTGTCCAGCTTTCATGGCTGTGGTAGATTTCCCCCTCACTTCTTGTTTCGGTGACACCTGGACAGTAAAAGAGAAGGTGCAGGTGTCACCAGAACAGAAGACACAGAGCAATAAAACCCTGACAAGTGTCCTGAACCCCCCCCCCCTCCCCCCATTCTCCAACTCTCCTAAATAAATGTGCTTCTATGTCCCTATCAGAGAGATATGTCATCAGTCAGTGAGACAGGAAATGAGGTTAAATCCCCCCTCAAGGGACACCGACAGTCATTCAGTCCTGACCGAGGCTCTCAGGTTTACAGTCAGGAGGAATGTTTGGGACCAGAATTTCTTAGGCGTCTTCAGATGATATTTTCACAGGAATAGGAGACAGAGGAACAAAAGCACAATACAGAGTGTGGCCCTGGAAGGGAGCCAAATCATCTCGCCGGGCGCCCTGGATCTGGAAGGACTGGAAGAACCGGTCCACCTCTACAGGAGGGAGCCACACAGAGCGAGGCCCCCCCCCCCCCCCCCCCCCCGGAAATGTCATAATGAGAGGATAGATCACAATTTCTCAACCTTTCTTCAATCGCAATGCCCTATAAAAACATACAAAACATTGATGCCCCCCCAGTATAATATATATAAAATGTAAATGTTTAATAACAATGGGGAGCCCCCCTAAACTCACAGCCCACCTCCATCATCACAGAGACCCCCCAAACACCTCCATCTTCACAGAGCCCCCCCAAACTCACAGTCCGCCTCCATCATCACAGAACCCCCAAACACAAAGCCCACCTCCATCATCACAGAGCCCCCCAAACACACAGCTCACCTCCATCATCACATAGCCCCCCAAACACACAGCCCACCTCCATTCATCACAGAGCCCCCCAAACACACAGCTCACCTCCATCATCACAAAGCCCCCCAAACACACAGCCCACCTCCATCATCAGAGAGCCCCCAACTGTGCAGCACACACCCCCATCATAACAGCCCCCCAATCACACAGCCTTCCTCCATCACAGAGCCCCCCAACCACAGAGCTCACCTCCATCATCACAGAGCCCCCGCAAACACACAGCCCACCTCCATCATCACAGAGCCCCCGCAAACACACAGCCCACCTCCATCATCACAGAGCCCCCACAAACGCACAGCCCACCTCCATCATCACAGAGCCCCCCAAACGCACAGCCCACCTCCATCATCACAGAGCCCCCACAAACACACAGCCCACCTCCATCATCACAGAGCCCCCGCAAACACACACAGCCCACCTCCATCATCACACAGAGCCCCCGCAAACACACAGCCCACCTCCATCATCACAGAGCCCCCCAAACACACAGCCCACCTCTAAACACACAACCCACCTCTAAACTATCATCACAGAGCCCCCCAAACGCATAGCCCACCTCCATCATCACAGAGCCCCCCAAATACACAGCCCACCTCCATCATCACAGAGCCCCCCCAAACGCATAGCCCACCTCCATCATCACAGAGCCCCCCAAACACACAGCTCACCTCCATCATCACAAAGCCCCCCAAACACACAGCCCACCTCCATCATCAGAGAGCCCCCAACTGTGCAGCCCACCCCCATCATAACAGCCCCCCCAATCACACAGCCTTCCTCTATCACAGAGCCCCCCAACCACACAGCTCACCTCCATCATCACAGAGCCCCCGCAAACACACAGCCCACCTCCATCATCACAGAGCCCCCGCAAACACACAGCCCACCTCCATCATCACAGAGCCCCACAATAGCACAGGCTTCTCTTCACATTAGAGCCTTACCCTTTGGCTCTAGCAGAGCGGTAAAAGGTGTGAGGTAGAGGAGGTCTGTGGAGGGTGGGACCGGTGTGAGGGGCCAGCCACCATCACTATGGCAATGAATGGAACCATACATCCTGGCCCTAGAGGGTTACAATGTACAGTCTGATCTCCGGGCTCCTTCTGCACTGTTACAATGTACAGTCTGATCTCTGGGCTCCCTCTACAAAGTTACAATGTACAGTCTGCTCCGGGCTCCTCCTACAAAGTTACAATGTACAGTCTGATCTCCGGGCTCCTCCTACAAAGTTACAATGTACAGTCTGATCTCCGGGCTCCTCTACAAAGTTACAATGTACAGTCTGATCTCCGGGCTCCCTCTACAAAGTACAAAGTTACAATGTACAGTCTGATCTCCGGGCTCCCTCTACAAAGTTACAATGTACAGTCTGATCTCCGGGCTCCCTCTACAAAGTTACAATGTACAGTCTGATCTCCGGGCTCCCTCTACAAAGTTACAATGTACAAATTTCCAAACTTCTTTATAAGTGATGGAACAGAACTGACTGGCATATTCAAGGCTTTGGATATCTTTTTATATCCTTTTCCTTCTTTATATATTATTATTATGCAGGATTTATGGCGCCAACAGTTTGCTCAGTGCTTTATATATACAGGGAGACAATACAGCTCAATACAAGAGGGATAGGAGGGCCTGATCCTGGGAGCTTACACTCTAAAGTTCCATTACCTTGTTACGCAGGTCTTTTCTGCTCCCCATGGCTCAGTATCTAGCCTGCTCAGCGCATCCATGTGAGAGCAAACAAACTCATTGACTACGCACAGACACGACTTGCAATTTAAAAAGCCACAGATGTGGGGAATGACCCTTTAATTGCCATTGTACCCGGGTGTGTGTCACCTTGTGTGTCTGTACCAAGGCCGAATGTTCCAGGGAGAGCGGAGACTTCTGTACCAAGGCCGAACGTTCCAGGGGGCGGAGACTTCTGTGCCAAGGCCAAACATTCCAGGGGGGCGGAGACTTCTGTACCAAGGATGAACGTTCCAGGGGGCGGAGACTTCTGTACCAAGGCCGAACGTTCCAGGGGGGCGGAGACTTCTGTACCAAGGCCGAACGTTCCAGGGGGCGGAGACTTCTGTGCCAAGGCCGAACGTTCCAGGGGGCGGAGACTTCTGTACCAAGGGCCGAACGTTCCAGGGGGCGGAGATCTGTGCCAAGGCCGAACATTCCAGGGGGCGGAGACTTCTGTGCCAAGGCTGAACATTCCAGGGGGCGGAGACTTCTGTGCCAAGGCTGAACATTCCAGGGGGGCGGAGACTTCTGATCCGGGCCATTTGGGGATTTCTGTTATTAGGATTTATAAAGGAGCCAAACAACGATTGTGATGATAAATGGCTTCATATCATCTCTATCCTTCAGTTTGGCAGATCTGTCAAGATTTTCAATATCAATGCCAAAATGTCCACCGTTTCTGCCAGAGGAGTTGAGACTTCTGAGCACAACTGTATATATTACAATGTAACACACGAGCCGACTGTATGTTCTCCTTTAGATCCACCATATATGTGTACTGTGTGAGGGCCCACCCTTATCATCCGATCAATCTGTATCTAGTGAAGCCAACCATATACAGTAGTTGTCAGGGACGGGCTGACAACTCATGGGGCCCCCGGGTGATAGGGGATTGTGGGGCCCGTGTCTAGCCCACACTCAAACCACACCCATAAAAGCCTTATGAAAGGCACCAGGGGCATCTCATGGGGCCCCCTACTGACCCAGGGCCCAAGTTCCCAAATTGTCAGTCCACCCCTGGTAGTTGTGGATAGATCTAAAGAAGATTGTACAATCCCGATTGTAATGTGTGTTGCGGGCTCAAAGCTTATCGGCTTTCATTGTGTGACCGTCCAGTGAGATCAAGGTGTGAAGTGTATTGTAAAGTGGGCCATACACGTTACAATCTCACAAATTTAACAAGCAACCGTGGACATAATGGCCATATAAATGCACACACGGTCTTATGGGACGAGTTCAAATGAATGTTCTGTGACAGGGTCTCTTTATTGAAGAACAGCCTGCAGCAAGTGCACACAGGGAATACAGCGCCACCTAGCGAGCAATATTATGGGTACAACCATGTATAGGAGGTATAGAGGGAAGGTGCTGCCACCCTAATGGACAACATGCTAACTGCAGTTCCCCACTAAAATGTCATAATAAAGGAATCCTGTAGAGAGGGAAATACTGAATCTCCAACACTGATCTCCCCTGGATGCCGGGTGTCATTCTCGGTATCTCCTCTTATTCTGTATGTATGGGACTCTGCACAGTCCCACTTTCCCTGTCCTGGATGCCGGGTGTCATTCTCGGTATCTGTCCCCCATTCTGTATGTATGGATATTTTTATTTGTATAAACAAACAAATTTACAAGGTAACAAAACTGTAACCATCATCATAAAAAACACACAAACCAACAATGTAACAACTGCCTACATCTTCACGACAGAAAGTCAACAAATTTAAACTAATGAAAGTTCTGCATAGAATTTGATGCTGTAAATAAATTCCTCACATTTTATATATTCCTTTCGGCTCTAAACTCTTTTTATAAAATCGGAATCTGAGTCACTCCGCCGACTACCAGTTTCCATATCGGATTCTACAAATACGGAAGCCCGGGGGCGGGCGCTTCTTAGTGGGCGGGTCCTCCCTGAACTATCTGCAGATTCCCTTTCTACTTCTTCCCCCATTTGGTCCTCTAGATCAGAGGAGTCAGCATCTGACTCTGATAGGACATCATACGGTTGCTGACTGCCATACTACCTTCTGGGCGCCATTCTCACCTTCTTAGCGGATTTCTGCGCTCGGGTCCACTCACTTTCAGGTTTACGGGTGGCCTTGTCCTTCCTATTCCTTCTCTTCTGCCTGGGAATGTTCTCCACAGAGGCAGGAACTGAAAACGGATGGGATGGCCACAGATGGCCGCTGCCCCTCAGTCTGCTGAACACTGCCCTCCTGCCCGAGGCTGGCCCCTTGGACTTCTGGGTTTACCTCCCCCTCAGTTGATATGACCCCATTCATTAAGGCTTCCTCCTCCAGGTGTTCTGCTGCCACAGAAATTCCTCATCCACTGATTCCTCATCCCTATTGTGGAAAGCCACCGGGCAATCTCTGTGCAAATGGCCAAGCCTACCACATAGATTGCACTTGATGTTCTCACAGGTAGAACTGACATGGCCGACCTCCCCACACAGATTACACTTCATGATAGAGCAGACACTCGCCACATGACCCGACCTACCGCAATTTGAAACATAGCCTGGGCTGACCTGCATAGAAGCAAACTCCCCTCTCCCGCCCAATGAAAAAGGAGTTTGGAAGGTGATGGGTGACATTGTTACTCTGCCTCAGCTTGACAAGAACCCTCCAACCTCCAGTCCAGATCCCATCACTGTCCCTAGTTTTTGGTCAGATCAGGAGACCATCTCACAATGCCTTCTGAGCCAGACTACAATATCCTGGGGGGGCACAGACTCATTCCAGAAAATGAATGTTCACGTTTGCTGTGTCAGGTTTGGAGATGGGGATGAAGGTGGAAAATCTTCCACCCCTCTTTATCCCGAAACCCCTAAAGCCGGCCCAGAACCTGTCAAGCAGACATGAGCTTGAAGCGGACAATCATACCCCTGTCTGTCAGGGAGGTTGATGACTGCCAAAATATCTGCGGGCACAAACCCCATCTGCTGACACAGCAACTCCCTAACTACAAACCTCCTATCAGGGAGCTTATCTCTGGAACCTCTATGCTTCAACCTGACCACGTTCCTCCTCTTGAAGGCCTCAGACCAGTATAACCGGTATTGTTGGGAAAAAAGAAGGAGCCCCACGGCTCCAGGCATTCCGAGGAGGACATAGCCAGATGGACCACTATTCCTCTTGTGATGCAGGTGGCGACTCAACCAAAGGGAGGAAAATCACGGGTGTTATCTTGAACTGACTCCTCCATTGCCACCTTCACAGGGTCCTCAGACTGGTCCTGACCCCATCCAGACATACTACCTACCTCAGTGTTAATGACATCAGGAACCCCTACATTCATCAATATTAGTGATATCAGCACTGGCCATATCACCACTAGCATCAGCAGCTTCATCTGCATAATTATTCAACTACCCCATCCCGACACCAGTCCCCTCAGCATTGGTCCCACCATGAGAACCGGGGGTAGCAACACCGTCCTCATAGTCCATGTGCTGGGAGTCCTCATGTCACTTCTCTGAGTTTCCTGCACTAATGAAAGTCTGGGCTGGGTGAAGCTGACGCTACCCTAGCTATCCTCCAGAGCTGGAGTCTGTCTTTCAGGAAGCACATTTGCTGGTAGTGTGCCTTGGATCAGTTCCCCGGAGTCCGACTCTGAAGAAGACTCCATCCTAACACTTAATTGTGCCCCAACCCGATCCGCCAATCCCGATACACCTCCCCCCTGGTCCCAGTTTCTTCCAGAACAGCATCAATGTTCCTCGATTTTATATGCCGGCCAGTTCAATGCCCAGGGCGTTAAGCTCGCTGTCATGTAGGACTTCATTCCCAGGGGTCGGCAGCCTTGAGTCTGTAGATGGAGTCAATCCTTTTCTGGGTCGAAGCCTTAGCTTTCCTCAAGGTCTTCATTCTCTTCTCCAGAGCAGGAATCCTGTCAGCCAGGGCGCAGCACAGGTGATGACTTTAACACTTTCTGCTTCCTATCCGCGGGGACGCTTGAAATTCTGATCCCATCAGCGGTACTGGGTGAAGGGTCTCTGCTGGATGTAGAAGGACTCTCCGGGCCAGACTGTGGAGGCTTAATTGGCTCCATCATCTTTCTTCTGCCGGGACCTGGGGCGTTAATGAGCGTTTCCTGGCCACTGCCCACCATTACACACTGCTGGAAGTTCTCCTTCAGGAGTTTTCTGCTCCAACGTAGTCCTTGCAGATCTGCGCGGAGTACTGCGAGTACTGGGAGTGACAGGTGTCTCTGCTCCGCTCTGTAACTGTATGGGCCCCCGCTATTGAACGGCCTGTGCTGGGCTCTGTGCGGCATGGGCTCCACTCTTTGGGCTTGCTTTGTTTGCAATGGCTGACTGCCTTTTGTTGCTACTCCAGAGCTGGTAGCTTGTGCTAGGGGTGATAGTGTCACTTTCTTGAGCCATATGGACTGGTGATCACCACTCTGCATGGGCATGGACTTTGCACTGTATGGCATGGGCTCTACTCTGCTGGACTTGCTTTTGTTGCAATGACTGAGCTGCCTTGATTTACAGTTTCCAAAACTTGAAAGCATGCCGGGTGACAACCTAGACATTCCTAGAGCTGCATGGACTGTATGGTTCCGCTCTGCACAGCATGGCCCCACTCTGCAGGGCTTGTGGTGCCTGTAATGGCTGGACCACATGGAGTTAGACCTCCATGACTTGGGACTGTGCAGTGGTGACAACATTAAATTGCCCTTTGCTGTTTAAACAGGATGGGCCCTGACTGAGCTCTGCTCCGCTGCTGGACTTGCTGCGGACTGTAATGGCTGACTGCCTTGGCTTGCACTTCCAGAGCTTGGAGTGCGCTGGGTGACAAACATTACATTGTCTGTTTAGGCTGAACTGGATGGGCCCCCGCTCTGCGCGCATGGGCCCCGCATCTGCGCGGCATGGGTTTTGCTATGCTGGGCTTGCGGGGGGATGCCTGTAATGGTGGACTTTTTTTTTTGGGCCGGAGCTGACCTCCAAGGCTTGGACTAGGCTGGGTACAACAACCACATCACACACATTGCTGGACAGACTGAACTTTTCCTCTGCTTGGCTTGTTGTGCCTGTAATGGCGGACTGTCCTTTGGGTTGCTCCTCCAGAACTTGGTGTGAGAGTTTGCTTGGTGACAGCCTTACATTGCTGTTTAGACACCACGAACTAGATGGGGCCCCTCTCTTTAGCTCTGCACGGCATGGGCTCCGCTCTGCATGGCTTGGGCTGCTGTGGTTGTAATGGGCTGACTGCCATTGAGCTGCTCTGAGTCCAGAGCTGCTGACAGTTTGCTTGGAGTGATTGCTCACAATGCTGGGACAACATTCTTGACATATGCTACATCTTGCAACCTGAACGGACTGGAGGCCCTTTCCTCTGCTGGGCCATGCGTGGATTGCAATGATGGAAACAGTCTCTGCCATGTGCTATGCACTTCCATTCACTGAACTGACCATTTTAGCTTGAGAAGACATTATCTCACACTGGACTGCGACGGGGTCTCCTATGTGACTTCATGGTTCTCTGAATAGCCATGAAACATCTCACAGGATGGAGAAGCGTTCCATCACCAACAGGTTCCCCCAAGTAGTTATACTTGTCATCAGTCATCAGGAGGAGGTCTGCTTTCCATTAACAGCCTGCATGCCGTCCTCCCTACAGACTCTCAACCACCCCTCCACAGCTTCCACCTCCATGAGCACAGTCCGGGAAAGCCTGGTTGACTCTCCTGGGAGGGCGTCCCGCCCAGTATGGATCTGCACCAGTCCCAGACCCTGTCCTTGCACACAACGAAGCAGACATCTAGAGGGTCAGCAGCACCACACAGCGCAGCAGCTGGCTCCACATTCAGGAATGTATGGGACCCTCTGGAAAGCACACATTCCCACTTCTCCTGTTCACCGGATGCCGGTGTCTTTCATCTGCGGTATCTGTCTCCCCATTCTGTCATATCGTACAGGTGGATATTTTTATTTGTATAAAACAAACAAATTACAAGGTAACAAAACTGTAACCCTTCATAAAAAAACACTCAAATCCAACAATGTAACAACTGCCTATACATCTTCACAGACAGAAAGTCAACAACTTAAACTAATGAAAGTTCTGCATAGTATTTGATGCTGTAAAAATATAATTCCTCCCATTTTATATTCCGTTCGGCTCTAAACCTCTTTTTCATAAATCGGAACTGAGGTCACTCCGCCGACTACCAGTTTCCATATCGGATTCTACAAATATCGGGAGCCAGAGGGGTACGGGCGCTATCTATATGTGGGCGGGTCCTCCCCTGAACTCTAGCTGCAGATTTCCTTTCTACTTCTTGCCTCCATTTGGGGCCTCTAGATCACAGGAAGTTTGGCATCTGACTCTGATAGGACGTCATACCTGGTTGCTGACCTGCCATCACTACCTTCTGGCACCCTTCTCACCTTCTTAGTGGATTTCTGCTGCACTCGGGTCCATTCACTTCTTCAGGTTTACGGGTGCCTTGTCCTTCCTATTCCTTCTCTTCTGCCTGGTAGGGAATGTTTCTCCAGCAGAGGCAGGAACTGAAACTGGATGGTATGAGCCACGGATGGGAGATGGCCACAGATGGCCGCTGCTCCTCAGCTCTGCTGAAACTACTGCCCACACCTGCCCGAGGCTGGCCCCTTGGGACTTCTCTGGGTTTACCTTCCCCCTCAGTTGATAATGCACCCCATTCATTAAGCTCTCCTCCTCCAGGTGTTCTGCTGCCACCAGAAATTCCTCATCCACTGATTCCTCATCCCTATTGTGGAAAGCCACCGGGCAATCTCTGTGCAAATGGCCAAGCCTACCACATAGATTGCACTTGATGTTCTCGACAGGTAGAACTGACATGGCCCGACCGACCTCCCACACACACATTAGCACTTCATGTATAGAGCAGACACTCGCCACATGACCCCAGACCTACCGCATTTGAAACATAGCGCCTGGGCTGACCTGCATAGAAGCAAACTCACCCTCTCCCCGCCCAATGAAAAAGGAGTTTGGAAGGTGATGGGTGACATTGTTACTCTGGCCTCAGCTTGACAAGAACCCCTCCAACCTCCAGGTCCAGATCCCATCACTGTCCCTATTATTGGTCAGATCAGAGACCATACATCTCACAATGCCTTCTGAGCAAGACTACAATATCCTGGGGGGGGGCACAGACTACAATAACCATGGGGGCGGCACAGACTCATTCCAGAAAATGATGTTCACGTTTGCTGTGTCAGGTTTGGAGATGGGGTATGAATGTGAAAATCTTCCACCCCTCTGTATCCCGAAACCCACTAAGCCGGCCCCCAGAACCTGTCCAAGCCAGACATGAGCTTGAGAGCTGACATCATACCCCCGTCTGTCAGGGAGGTTGATGACTGCCAAAATATCTGCGGGCAACAAACCCCATCTGCTGACACAGCAACTCCCTTAACTACAAACCTCCCTTATCAGGGTGAGCTCTTCTCTGGAACCCCTATTGCTTTCAACTGACCACGATCCTCCTCTTGAAGGCCTGACCAGTATAACCGGCATTGTTGGAAAAGAAGGAGCCCCACGGCTCCAGGCATTCCGAGGAGGGAGCATGGCCAGATGGTCCACTATTCCCTTCTGATGCAGGTGTGCGACCGATCAACTCAAAGGGGGGAAATCACGAGTGTTTTCCTGAACGGGACTCCTCCATTGCCACAGTTCACAGGGTCCTCAGACTGGTCCTGACCCCATCCAGGACATACCTACCTCAGTGTTAAATGACATCAGGAACCCCTACATCCATCAAATATTAGTGATATCAGCACTGGCCATATCACCACTAGCATCAGCAGCTTCATCTGCATAATATATCAACTACCCCATTCCCGAACACCAGTCCCCTCAGCATTGGTTCCACCATGAGATTCCCGGGGTACAACACCGTCCTCATAGTCCATGTGCTGGGAGTCCATGTTGCTTCTCTGGGTTTCCTGCACTATGAAAGTCCTGCTGGGTGAAGCTGACGCTAACCATCTAACCTTAAGGGCCCGCAATCCTCCAGAGCTGAGTCCTGTCTTTCAGTAAGGCACTTTTGCTGGTAGCGTGCGCTTGGATCAGTTCCCCGAAGTCTGACTCTGAAGAAGACTCCATCTTTACACACTTAATTGTGCCCAAACCCACTCACAATCCCGATAGCACCTCCCCCCTTGGTCCCAGTTATCTTCCCAGAACAGCATCAATGATCCTCGATATACCGGCCAGTTCAATGCCAGGGCGTTAAGCTCGCTGTCACTGTAGGACTTCATTCCCGCGGGGTCGGCAGCCTTGAGTCTGTAGATGGAGTCAATCCTTTTCTGGGTCGAAGCCTTAGCTTTCCTCAAGGTCTTCATTCTCTTCTCCAGAGCAGGAAATCCTGTCAGCCAGGCGCAGCACACAGGTGACTTTAACACTTTTCTGCTTCCTATCCGCAGGACGCTTGAAATTCTGATCCCCCCATCAGCGGTACTGGGTGAAGGGTCTCTGCTGGATGTAGAGGACTCTCCAGGGCCAGACTGTGGAGGCTTATTGGCTCCATCATCTTTCTTCTGCCGGACCTGGGGCGTAATGAGCGTTCCTCTGGCCACTGCCCACCATTACACACTGCTGTAAGTTCTCCTTCAGAGTTTTCTGCTCCAACGTAGTCCTTGCAGATCTGCGCGCGTACTGCGGCAGTGACAGGTGTCTCTGCTCCGCTTCCGCTCTGAACTGTATGGGCCCCGCGCTCTGAACGGCCTGTGCTGGCTCTGTGCGGCATGGGCTCCACTGTTCTGGGCTTGCTTTGTTTGCAATGGCTGACTGCCTTTTTGTTGCTAACACTCCAGAGCTGGTAGTGTGCTGGGTGATAGTGTCACTTTCCTGAGCCATATGGACTATGTGATCACCACTCTGCACGGCATGGACTTTGCACTGTAATGGCATGGCTCTACTCTGCTGGACTTTGCTTTGTTGCAATGACTGACTGCCTTGATTTACAGTTCCAGAACTTGAAGCATGCCGGGTGACAACCTTACATTCCTGAGCTGCATGGACTGTATGGGTTCCGCTCTGTACGGCATGGGCCCCACTCTGCTGGGCTTGTGGGTGCCTGTAATGGCTGACCGCATGGAGTTAGGCCTCCATGACTTGGACTGTGCCCAGGGTGAACAACATTACATTGCTGTTTAAACAGAAATTGACTGAGCTCTGCTCTCTGGTCCTTGCTGCGCGGACTATGTAATGGCTGACTGCCTTGAGTTGCACTTCCAGAGCTTGGAGTGCGCTGGGTGACAACATTACATTGCTGTTTAGGCTGAACTGGATGGGCCCCGCTCTGCACGGCATGGGCTCCGCGCTCTGCTGGGCTTTCATAATGCAATGGCTGACTGCCTTGCATTGCTTCTCCAGAGCTTGGAGTGCTCTGGGCACACCCTTAGCATGGGCTGTTTTGACTGAAATGGATGGGCCCCACTCTGCACGGCATGGGACCTGCGCTTTGCACGGCATGGGTTTTGCTTCTGCTGGGCTTTGCCGGTGGCGTATGGTGGACTGCCCGGAATGGTGGACCTGCCCGGAGCTGGACTAGGCCCGAGTTGGGCTGGGTAACAACATCACATTGCTGGACAGACTGAACTTTCCTCTGCTTGGCTTGTTGTGCTGTAATGGCGGACTGCCTTGGGTTGCTCCTCCAGAACTTGGAGTTTGCTTGGTGACAGCCTTACATTGCTGTTTAGACTGAACAAGATTGGGCCCCGCTCTGCACGGCATGGGCTCCGCTCTGCACGGCTTGGGCCTGCTGTGGTTGCAATGGCTGACTGCCTTGAGCTGCTCCTCCAGAGCTTGGAGTTTGCTTGGTGACAACATTACATTGCTGTTTTTGGACTGAACTGACTGGGCCCTTCTCTGCTGGGGCATGCTGTGGCTGCAATGGCGGACTGCCATGTGCTGCACTTCCAGAACTCACAGCTTTGCTGAGAGACATTATCACACTGCTGGACTGACTTCATCTTCTCTGTATTACCAGAACTTCTCACACTGGACTTTCCATCACCAACATTCCCCCCATCTACTCACAGTTCTCTGCCATTTGCTTTCCATTCACTGAACTCCGTCCTCCCGCTTCACACCACACAACCACAGCTTCACCTCCATGAGCAGGCCGAGAAGCCTGGGACTCTCCTGGGAGGCGTCCCAGCCCAGGGCAGCCCAACCCTGGGCTTGTATCAGACATCAGAGGAGGTCAGCACCACACAGCCTGCAGCTGCTCCACAGGAAACCACACCCTCTGCACAGTCCCACTTCTCCTGTCCTGGATGCCGGGTGTCATTCTCGGTAATCTGTCCTCATTCTGTATGTATGGACTCTGCACAGTCCCACTTCTCCTGTCCTGGATGCCGGGTGTCATTCTCGGTATCTGTCCCTCATTCTGTATGTATGGACTCTGCACAGTCCCCACTTCTCCTGTCCCGGATGCCGGGTGTCATTCTCCGGTATCTGTCCTCATTCTGTATGTATGGACTCTGCACAGTCCCACTTCTCTGTCCTGGATGCCGGGTGTCATTCTCGGTATCTGTCCTCATTCTGTATGTATGGACTCTGCACAGTCCCACTTCTCACTTCTCCTGTCCTGGATGTCGGGTGTCATTCTCGGTATCTGTCCCTCATTCTGTATGTATGGACTCTGCACAGTCCCACTTCTCCTGTCCTGGATGCCGGGGTGTCATTCTCGGTATCTGTCCTCATTCTGTATGTATGGACTCTGCACAGTCCCACTTCTCCTGTCCCGGATGCCGGGTGTCATTCTCGGTATCTGTCCTCATTCTGTATGTATGGACTCTGCACAGTCCCACTTCTCCTGTCCTGGATGCCGGGTGTCCATTCTCGGTATCTGTCTGTATGGGGATCGTAGATGGGGGGGGATTTATGGTAAAAAGGGATGGATGGGGAGGGGGGAATGTGTGGTAAAAGGAGGGGGGGGGAGGGTCGGTGCTAGAAGGAGGGATGGTTGAGGGGGGTAGGGGGGATTTGTGCTAGAAGAGGGAGGGATGGTGGGGGAGGAGGGGGGGGGAAAATTTGTTTGTGCTAGAAGAGGGAGGGAAGGTTGGGGGGGGGGGGTATTTGTGCTAGAAGAAGGGAGGGTTGGGTGGGGGTGGGGGGGGGTATTTGTGCTAGAGTAGGGAGGGATGGTTGGGGGGGGGGGGTTATTTGTGCTAGAAGAGGGAGGGGGATGGTGGGGGAGTGGGGGGGGATTTGTGCTAGAAGAGGGAGGGATGGGGGGGGTTATTTGTTGCTAGAAGAGGGAGGGATGGTGGGGGGGGATTATTTGTGCTAGAAGAGGGAGGGATGGTTGGGGGGGGTATTGTGCTAGGGAGGGAGGGATGGGTGGGGGGTGGGGGGGGTATTTGTGCTAGAAGAGGGAGGGATGGTGGGGGGGTTATTTGTGCTAGAAGAGGGAGGGATGGTGGGGGGGTTATTTGTGCTAGAAGAGGGAGGGATGGTTGGGGGGGGTATTTGTGCTAGAAGAGGGAGGGATGGGTGGGGGGGTGGGGGGGTATTTGTGCTAGAGTAGGGAGGGATGGTTGGGGGGGGGTATTTGTGCTAGAAGAGGGAGGGATGGTGGGGGGGGGGTTATTTGTACTAGAAAAGGGAGGGAGGGAGGGATGGTGGGGGGGGTTATTTGTGCTAGAAGAGGGAGGGATGGTTGGGGGGGGGTATTTGTGCTAGAAGAGGGGAGGGATGGGTATTTGTGCTAGAGTAGGGAGGGATGGTTGGGGGGGGGGTATTTGTGCTAGAAGAGGGAGGGATGGTGGGGGGGGGGGGGTTATTTGTACTAGAAGAGGGAGGGAGGGATGGTGGGGGGGGTTATTTGTGCTAGAAGAGGGAGGGATGGTTGGGGGGGGGGGGTATTTGTGCTAGAAGAGGGAGGGATGGTTGAAGGGGGAGGACTTGTGCTAGAATGGGGAGGGGATAGGGTGGGGGGGGGGATTTGTGCTAGAATAGGGAGGGATGTTGGGGGGGGAGATTTGTACTAGAATAGGGAGGGATGATGGGGGGGGGGGGGGGGTTTGTGCTAGAATAGGGGGGAAGGTGGAGATTTGTGCTAGAATAGGGAGGGATGATGGGGGGGGGGGGGGGGTTGTGCTAGAATAGGGAGGGATGATGGGGGGGGGGGGTTGTGCTAGAATAGGGGGGAAGGTGGAGATTTGTGCTAGAATAGGGAGGGATGATGGGGGGGGGGGGATTTTTGCTAGAAGAGGGAGGGATGGTTGAGGGGGGGTTGTGTTAGAATAGAGAGAGATGGTTGGGGGGGGGGGGGTTATTTGTGCTAGAAGAGGGAGGGATGGTTGGGGGGGGGGGGGGGGGTTATTTGTGCTAGAAGTGGGAGGGATGGTTGAAGGGGGAGGATTTGTGCTGGGAGGGGGGGATTTGGGAGAAGAATCACAGAGAGTTGTGCTGGGAGGGGAAGAGGATTTGGGGGTAAGGCACAGAATTTCCTACTATGTCTCATATGTAAATGTCTATATTCTGGAGGAAGGGACTTCGGAGGCACAATCCTTGCAGCAGGCGCTGGTAGTACACACTACGACCACAGTGCGGCGTCCCACCAACCAGAGGAAATGCTGGTGATATCCGTACACCGAGTTGTATTTTTCATTCTTGTTCTGTCACTGAGGACTGCAGATCACGCTGGTGGGAAAGCTGCACCTCCAGCCACGTGTGGAAGACGTTACACCCACCAATAACCAGTGAGATCTGGGCACAAACAGGAGGCGGATCCCGGCCCCTGAGGAATCATCCCCCTGCATTGCTCTCTGCAGCCGTATTTCCTCTCCCCTCCCTGGCTTTCAGCTGCAGAAGACAGTCCTATAGGAGATCGGTTCCAGAACTTTCCCCCTCACCACACCCATCCCCCTACCTGTGCACCATGTTTCTTGCCAGACCCCCCTGTGTGCCCCCACAATGCTACCAGCTTCCCTCCTCTCCTTCCCAACAGCACACAATAGGATCCTTCAGGATGGAGAGTGGGGGAAGGGTCCAGTAAATGTCACATTTGCCAGCCCATTTCTTTCCTGAACGAACACGAGTGATCGGTACCAATGACTCACTGTGTCCATTCATAATTGAAGCATAGTAAACTTTTTTGTTTGTTTTGTTTTGGGGGGGGGGTCCTTGTCAGGTTGGCTGTATGGGGCCCCGTGATTTCTAACAGCAGCCCTTCACATGGGCATCCGAATCGTTCCACTCTTTGTAACACGCCTTGCGATCAGTAGCGTACGCATGGCGCATTCTCCCATTCCTTCTCTTACTGGGGACATACAGAAGATATAAAAGTCTTCACGCCCCGGGCTACAAATTCTGGGTTTTTTGAGATATCATCAAAAAAATCAGACCGAGATAAATCTCTTGTGAACTTTTCATCCTTCAGTGTTGGTTTACTCTTACTTTGCCTTTACTGCGCATGCATTAGTCCTTTCGTTGCATTTTTTGCACTCAGATTTGAAAAATAATTTCAGGCCTGAAGATTAGACAAACCCCCCCCCCCCCCCCCCCCCCCCCCCCCCCCCCCCCCCCCCCAAAAAATCCCCCCCCCCCCCCCCCCAACCCCCCCCCCCCCCCCCCCCCCCCCCACCCCCCCCCCCCCCCACCCCCCCCCCCCCCCCCCCCCCCCCCCCCAAAAAATGTCCCATCATTGGTATCATTGCGAATGGGCTCCTTGTGAACTGCCATCGTTGTATACTTTCTGAAAGCCGACACCCTCGAGCAGGGGGGTCTCCAAACCTTTTAAACAAAGGGGCGGTTTACTGTCCTTAAGACTTTAGAGGGGCCAGACTGTGACCTTCGGGAGCAGAAAATGGAAGCAATGCCCCATCCTTGGTGTCACTGGGAGTAATTGTGCCCCAGGGTTGGTGTCATTGGGTGGAAAATGTCCCATCATTGGTATCATTGGGAGGAATTGTGCTCCATTGTTGGTGTCATGGAGAGGAACTGTGCCCCATTCTTGATGTAATTGGGAGGAATTATGCCCCATCATTGGTATCCTTGGAAGGAATTGTACTCCATCGTTGGTGTCATTGGGAGGAACTGTGCCCCATCGTTGGTGTCATTGGAGGAACTGTGCCCCATCGTTGGTGTCATTGGGAGGAATTGTGTCCCATCGTTATCCTTGGGAGGAATTGTGCCCCATTGTTGGTATCCTTGGGAGGAACTGTGCTCCATCGTTGGTGTCATTGGGAGGAATTGTGCCCCATCGTTGGTGTCATTGGGAGGAACTGTGCTCCATCGTTGATGTCATTGGGAGGAACTGTGCTCCATCGTTGGTGTCATTGGGAGGAACTGTGCCCCATCGTTGGTGTTATTGGGAGGAACTGTGCCCCTATCGTTGGTGTCATTGGGAGGAACTGTGCCCCATCGTTGGTGTCATTGGGAGGAACTGTGCCCCATCGTTGGTGTCATTGGGAGGAACTGTGCCCCATCGTTGGTGTCATTGGGAGGAATTGTGTCCCATCGTTATCCTTGGGAGGAATTGTGCCCCATTGTTGGTATCCTTGGGAGGAACTGTGCTCCATCGTTGGTGTCATTGGGAGGAATTGTGCCCCATCGTTGGTGTCATTGGGAGGAACTGTGCTCCATCGTTGATGTCATTGGGAGGAACTGTGCTCCATCGTTGGTGTCATTGGGAGGAACTGTGCCCCATAGTTGGTGTTATTGGGAGGAACTGTGCCCCATCGTTGGTGTCATTGGGAGGAATTGTGTCCCATCGTTATCCTTGGGAGGAATTGTGCCCCATTGTTGGTATCCTTGGGAGGAACTGTGCCCCAGTGTTGGTGTCATTGGGAGGAATTGTGCTCCATTGTTGATGTTATTGAGAGCAACTGTGCCCCAGTATTGGTGTCATTGGTAGGGATAGTGTCCTATCATTGGTGTAATTGTGCCCCGTCCTTGATGTAATTGGGAGGAATTGTGTCCCATTGTTGGTGTCATTGGGAGGAACTGTGCCCCATTGTTGTTGTCATTGAAACTGTGCCCCACTGTTGGTGTCATTGGTAGGAATAGTGTCCCATCACTGCTGTAATTAGGAGGAGCTGTGTCCAATCACTGGCTTCTTTGGGAGGAATCGTGCTCCACTGTTGGTGTCATTGGGAGGAATTGTGCCCCAGCATTAGTGCCATTGGGCCCCATTGTTGGTATCATTGGGAGGGGAATTGTGCCCCATTGTTGGTGTCAGTGGAAGGAATAGTGCCCCATCATTGGTGTCGGTGGGGGGGAAATAGTGCCCCATCATTGGTGTCAGTGGGAGGAATAGTGCTCCATCATTGGTGTCAGTGGGAGGAATAGTGCCCCATTATTGGTGTCGGCGGGGGGGAATAGTGCCCCATTATTGGTGTCGGCGGGGCGGAATAGTGCCCCATTATTGGTGTCGGTGGGGGGGGAATAGTGCCCCAAGGGTCACATAAAAGCAAGCAAAGGGCCGCAGTTTGGAGACCACTGCCCTAGAGAATAAAATAGTGGTAGTTCCAATTTTTTTGTGTCACACAATATTACTGCAAAAGTAAACATTTCAGTAAAAAAGATACTAAAGTGAATTTAGGACAAACAAAAGCAACAACTTACCCACACTTTTGGTCAAATATAAAAGATCAGGATGATACCCAACGTGTCAAACATTAAATGCATGTGCGCCTGTGCAATGTGACAAACTTCAGTCCCCGATATTTTCCATAGGCGCCCCTTCAGAGGTCTCTACAGGTCATCAGTCTGGTGTCACGGAGGAGGTGTGGTGCTATTATTGCGTGTGCAGCGATATGGAACGAGTATCGCAACTGACATTTTCACACTTCGGTACC